CGTGAGTCAGGCAGAGCGTTTGCGGTTATTTCGCTACTGCGCAGCATGTGACATCTGCAAAAAAATAAACCAAAAAATATCTTCTAGGCAACTTGGATTTTTTTAAATCTTTTATTTTAGCATTTATATAACTCAGAAATAAAAATCCCAGACTATTTTGTCCGTTTGAAAGTATGACCCGACCCCCCCGGATATATTTAATTAATATACGCAAAAAATATACTTTAGGCATACTAAAATGTGTATAGCATGTTTATTAATTAATATTGAAAATACGTGTAAATTGCCAGGCGAATTGAACGGTTTTTAATAGCTCCCTGACGCAAATAAAGATTTTAAATGAATGCGACAAAAATGTCTCTTGCGTAGCCACAGGTGCGAGATAGTTTATCGAGACATGCCAGCAGCTGACGAGGCCCTGGATCTTCTATGATTGGTTGTTGAAACACCACGTGATTTTTTATTTTACTAACTTTAAAATTTTTGTAATATTTCACCAGAAAATGTTTTTTTTAATACTTGTGAATTTCATTGAGCAAAAATAATGTAAATTTTACATTAGTTTATCATGTACAGGGTGATTCATTATATTTTGACCCCCCTTTTAACTTTTTTGTTGTAAGAGGTATAAAAAAATATGAAATACAAAAGTGGCACAATTTTTTATGAATTTTTCTAAAGTGATTGTGGAAAAACAAATGAAGTCCAAACAAAATGGCCGCGGATGTTAACTTTGTTAATTTAAATGGAACACCCTGTATATTTTTACATATTTGGATAGAACGTTCCCTGTCGAGTATAATCGTATAGGATTTGTTGGGTCGATCTCTAACAATAAGCAAGATACTATTAAAAACCAAAAAAAAGGTTTTTATTAAGAAAACAAGACATATTTTAATTAGAACTCCTTCAGACATTTCTGCCTATTTTCAATTATGTAAGGATTTACAGTTTTAGTTATATAATTTTTGACATATCGGACATTGATACGGTCCAAAATGCGTATAGGTATATTAACTAAATCTCACTAATTAGGCCGTGAGAGGCCTAATTACTCATGGTAGGTCGTGACAGTGACAGGTCCGGACCCATGTTCATATGAACTTTTTTACTTAGTTTTGATCATAGAATCGGCCTGTTCAGGATTGGCAGCTAATTATAAGACACCCTGTATTTTGACTCCCCCATTAACTTTTTTATTTTGAAAGAGAGTGAAAAAATGTGAAATACAAAAGAAATACAGTGACAGGTAATATCATGACAACATTGTTATTGTTTGATAGCTTGTATTATTATTCAATTAAAATGGGTAACACAGAAATAGAAAATTGAAATATAGGAGTTAAAATAAAGTTCTTTTAATTCCTAATAATATTTCAATTTTATACTTGTGTAACTTATTTTAGTTAAATAATAATACAAACTGTCAATCAATAATGACATTGTTTAAATTACTATGAATTTGACCAAAGTGGGATTAATTCAAGAGCGATTTTCTCAGAAACCGTTAAAGATAACGATTTGAAACAAGAGTACCTTTTTAACGTAAAACAGTTCGGGAAAACGGAATTTGCTGTCCAATTTGTTAAAAAGTCAAAGATGAAAAAGTTACACACGCAAAGTACCAAGGGCCCCCCGTACCCACCCCAATGGACCTTGTGGAAATAAATGGATTAGTCCATCAAAATGCTAATCAAAATTTAGCTGTGTATACCAAATTTCATTCATTTATCACAACGCGATTGAGAGATATTGCAAAAAAGTGATTTCCATTCCTCCCTCTTCAATGGGTCCCTGTGCCCTTAGGAAGCATTTCTGGACCCATGTTCATATGAACTTTTTTACTTAGTTTTGATCATAGAATCGGCCTGTTCAGGGTTGGCAGCTAATTATGAGACACCCTGTATAGTGGCCCTGTACTCGTATATACTCATAACATTGTATTAGGTGCGATCATCTACAGGGAGTTCCAAGAAAAAAACGCCATGTTCAACAAGTCGATACATTGGGATCTTGGTTATCTTAAGAAATACAAGGGCAAAGTTACGGAATTATCTTAAGAAATACAAAGGCAAAGTTACGGAATTAGACGAAGCATAAGATGTCGAGCAGAAACTAGAAAATTAAACTGAATAAACAACATTTCGTCTACAGTAACAGAGGTTGAATGAAAATAGACCTTCCAGATGACATTCAAAGTCTGACGGTTCGCATGACATTTGCTTCGATTTCAATTTACAAGTCACCAAACGATGAGGAACCTTACAAATTTATGGCAGGGGCGTTTTACATCATTTCTAGATTTGTGAATCAGAACCGCAACGCGATTAGAAAAATCTACGAATATTTTCCAATGCGCACCAAATCAAACACTACATAATCTGAACAGGTCGAGCTTTTCACCACAGCGTACTTTGTATGACTCGAGCAATCCGCTGAGCCTCAGTCGATGACAAACTATATAAGTATTTGCTCTTGCTGTACATATTAATCACCGAGCGAATGAATATGCACATCACCGATTTGCCATTAGAGGAAAGAATGTGCAGCAGTTTGAAATTATGCACCGGCTTAAAGGGCAATTCCAGCTATGAAACATCAACGCAGTATGGGCCGCGTATGTTTTTTTATTATAGAAATATGAATGAAAAAAGATGTGAAATGTGGAAATGTGCTTGTGAAATTTGCGCAATTGACATCGGTCACAGAACTCGGATAGAGATCCGACTTGTCGACAGGTAGTCTGTGACAATCGACGTTTTGTCTTCTACGGATCGCCTGGATTTGAATGAAACAGATGAATAGTCTCGAGCTATCGCATCTCATCTGAAAAACAATCGAAGGTTGTGGTGACAAACAAATGGCAAATCCAACAACTCGGGTTCTTTCTGATGAGTATCTGGAATTATTATTGTACGGAGCAGTAAATAACGCATCTGCAAACAGACTATAACAAGGTGTCTTCCAAGAAGGTATGAAACGCTGCTTAAAGCGGATGGATCCACATGTAACTTCCCATCATAAACAAATTCAAAATTACGCTAGTCATCGAAACGCGAGATACAGGGTCGGAAAGTCCCCATGGTTCATCGACCGTTACGTGAGAGCGATAAAGAAAGTCATAGAAATCCGTGCGATAGGGAAAGATAGCTGTAATGAAGGCGTCTAAAAGTCACAGCACATTTTGCCCTTCCACAAATAAATTCCACTTCTTATTTATTATTAAATTTAAACATTTTTAACTTGTAGTATATTGTGCAAAATTCAATTCTAAAACTTTTTTTCCTCATCAATATTCTTCCAAAATGCATAAGTTCCAAGATATAAGTAAAAAACTCTGATAAAATAGGCATGTTTTTAAATTTTTCAAACATTTTTGTAATTTTGAAAATGTTCCGGACCTCGCCCAGATCTAGGGATCTACACTTTTATTATGTGAGTTGTACTGAAGGTAATCCAGAAAAAATTTGTTTGCCCCCTTTCACATCCCCCTCAAAACAGATCCGCCGTGGTCTATCAATGAAATTTACCTAGCCGCAACTAAAGATCATTCTAGCAGCGATTTATGCTTTACAACGGCATGTTGTCTTGCCTACTGCTTTACATTACTGGGTGCGTGGCTAGCTTAGGATCATGTAAAGGGAGGAGCACTTAGACTAGATTCCTTGTTCGAAAACTGTACGTCCAGACAGGGTGTGTGGTTCGGTTATGGGCTACAGGACCGGACGACAGTGTAAATCGTCTCAAGAGAACTGCATTTGAATTAGGTCGCTGCTACCGAATAATAGATATACAGGGTGTCTACAAACTTGGACAGGATTTTTTATAGTATGCAGAATGCAATAATAATAAGCATTTCCAATAATAAAAACCCTTGAAACTGCAAAACCACATAGTAATTGAAATTGTTAAAATTTATTGACAACCTCTGGAATCGCCCCCGGGTTACATACTACACGAAAAGAGATGAATAGTTGTGGCCGTAAATAGCGCTTTTCTGTCTCGTGTTTTGGATCTGCATACCTTTATTTACAGATATTTCCAAATAGGCATGCAGTAACACTCAGAGGCAGGCCTAGAAAGGTAGAGCTATCGGTGTCAGCAGTCCCAAATGCCCATGGCTTCCCAAGATAAGCAAAACTTTTTATCAAGAATAACTTTTTCTCGATAGCTTACAAGAGTGCGGTATCCTATCCAAGAAAGAGTTGATATGGCCAGAGCCTGCTTTTTGTAAGGAGAAAACGATGTTGTTGCAAGAAGACGATATCAGATGGACTATCTCGACCGACAAACACAGAATAAGAAAATGTTTGTAAGATTTACTGTCCAGTCATGGTATCTTACATAAAATATCCCCCATTTTGGAATTCCGAGAACAGAAAACGGATCAACAAACCAGCGGAATATTTTCGAGGCGGTAATTCTCCAGGTGGAACAGCTGATTTTTCAATAAGAAACAAACGAGCGGCGTAACCAAAACAAAATCCATCTAAAATAAATAATTGTACACAAACAAGAATTATACCCACCGCGTAACCAAAATAAACGATTAGTTAGACCAAGTCCAAATCCTCGCCGGAGGAATGCGATACGTAACATCCAGGTAGGGGTATTTATAGAAGTGGAGATTTTATTTTAACGCCGTAAAGGTGCCATTAGAGCTGATAATCGCCTTTGTGTAATCTCTTATGGTGTTTTGGACTCTTATCTGAGGGGGCTGCGGGGCCGGATACGCCCCACGGAACACGCTGAAAGAATCTCTAAAGAAACGCAGCAAATCCCCTCAAACGCCGTCAAGAACCACTTGATTTATTCGTAAGGGTTGTTACCCTCGACTTGGCCTCGGGACACACATTACTATAATTATTTCCATTTAACTTGCTTTAATTAATTTATTATTATCTATTTATTAATCACTACTGGATATTATTGGCCTACTCATACCAGGTGTTATTTTTTTGGATTTATTTTTAAATATGTACCCTTAAGCTTTTACTTACCGAAGACGGGACTGTGGTCAGGCCGTTGCACATTTTTGCTGGTAGAATTGTAACTTCCACTTCCGGATTTTTCCTTAAACAAAAACATTAAGTCAGCTTAAAGACGCGTACGACACTAAACAAACATGTTACACAAAAAAAATGGAAATATAAACAGCGCTTGGAGCGAAAAGAAGTTCAAAAATTTAATCAAACCGCCACATTTTTTTGCAAATATATGATAACATAATTTGCGATGTTTTTAATTATACAGGGTGTATCACGAAGAGGGTCCAGTAGGACTATCTCAAAAAGTAATTCAGAATTGAAATCTGAAAACTTGTATACAGGGGTTTCTCAAAAAGATCTATTCAATGAAAATAGTGTCAACTTTCTCGCACTTCCGGTTATACAGGAAGTCATCATCATCTCTGTTATTTCAAATGGAACACCCTGTATATTTATGCATTTTTTAATTCTACGGAAAATTCTATTACTATTTTCATATGAGGTACTATAAGCTAAAAAGTGGCGGTTTTCAAGTTATCAATTTTCGAAAAAAATTGAAAGATGTTGAACATAGAATAACTTCGACATTTTGCTGTATTTATTAATGAAATTTGGCATGGATGATTTAAAAGCGATGGAATTCAATCAGTTCATCTCAAATTTACAAAAAATTATACAGTGTTTAAAAACGTATAGCCAATATTGTGACGAAGTAGAATTTACTCAAAAATTGCAAATGGTACATCCTGTATATTATTACATTAATGGATGCAGAATTAAATTTACTTTAAAATGATACTATAGTTCCTTATACCCAAAGTTAACAGTTCTTGTGTAAATTAGAAATTATTGATTTCAACAAAGAAAAATCTACGAGGATGGTGGGTTTATCTAAATTAAAGCATCGCCCTTTTTAATTTAATATACTGAATTATTGTTTTGGATGAAGGTATAACGATAATAAAAATTACAGTTCATTAATTTAATTGTGCATCCATTAATGCAATAATATACAGGGTGTACCATTTGAAATATTTGAGTATATTCAACGTCACAATATTGGTCACACGTTCTTAAACACCTGTATGAATTTTTGCAAATTTGACAAACTGGTTGAATCCCATTCCTTTTAAATTATTCATGTCAAATTTCATTAACAAATAAAGCTAAATGTCGGAGTTATTCTATTTTTCAAAATCACTTGCATCTCTCAATTTTTTTCGAAAATTGAAAACTTAGTTATTAGTCTAGATTTTACCTTAGAATTAAAAAATGCAAAAATATACAGAGTGTTCCATTTGAAATAACAGAGTTGATGATGACTTCCGGTATAACCGAAAGTGTGAGAAAGTCATTGAATAGATCTTTTTAAACCCTTGTATATAAATTTTCAGATTTCAATTTTGATTACTTTTTGAGATACTCCGTAATCCTACTGGGCCTTCTTCGTGACACACTTTGTATATGACTCCTCAAATTTATAGATCTGACATCGATTTAGCCCCGTCCATTGTTAGCAGTCTAAATACAGGGTGATTCACAAATGGTGACCAAAAACCTCGTATTCTTTGGTGAAACTTAAAGGGAGTCTTTCCTAAAAATATTTTTTTAATTTTTTTAAATAATTTAAAAACTAGGTAGTGAAATAATTTGGAATTGGTAATACGTATTTATGTAAACATTGTCCAAAATCTGCGGCCTTTTTCTAAAATTTAGCTGCTTCAGTTCGTTTTTAAAGATTTACTTGAAAAACAGGCTTTTTTCAAAAAACATAAGAGAACAGTAAATTGTAGAAAATTGAAAGACTATTCCGAAAATATCATGGTTGTTACCGTAAAGTAGTGGCGCATTATTTTATTTAGAAAAATATGCCACCGATACCCTGTATCTCCGCCACTGGAGCATGCAAATTTTAGGAAATGCCCTCAGATTTTGTTTACGTAAATACATGTGATCAATTTCAAATTATTTCACTTACTTACTAGTTTTTAAATTATTTAAAAAAATTTAAAATATTTTTTGAAGTTTAACACCCTGTATCTTTTTAATGAAGCGTCCTAGATAAGAACTTTATAGGACAGACTCCCCTTAAAATTCACCAAAGAATACGAGGTTTCATTTCTGGTCACCATTTGTGAAGCACCCTGTATAGTTCGATACTCAACTGTGATTCATCTTCTGTTGTTTTCTTTGTTTGCCGAACTACACTCTCTTCGTAAATCTCCATCGGCAGTAATTGAGGTAAGTATTAAATTGTTATAATTGTCAATTGATTAGAAAAAATTGATACAATTTGAAGAAAAACATCGATTTTTGTCATAATTGTCAATAAACACATTAGAGCGACGCTATCTCGTAGAAAATTTCATTTAAAACAAAAATGATTTTGCATTTTCGTGATCCAATCGAGATATTGAAGACAAACAAATAAAGAAAAAACGATTTGTAAAAACAATTTAGGGTTTGTGGAAATTTACCACCTCCACCTACTGGACTATAACTAAAATAACATCATATAAAATACCTAAACAACAATTGCTGAACTAATACCGCGAACACCCGACATAAAGAGATGATTTATATATAAAAATGTTGTACGAACATGTCCAATATTAAAATGTCTGTAGTGAACACCGGATTATCGCAATTTCTACCAAACACCAACTATCTAATCTCTCCATATTTATTTTTAGGTATAAACAAAAAGATTAGATAAAAAGACGCCCGCTCTTTTACGCTTGTATTAATAATGGAGGATCCAAAGTGTCACGTTTCAACCATCGATCAAAACATGCTACGTTTAACAACATACTAATTATTATTTCCACGTAATGCGTTGAAAATATTAAGGAGGATCGGGTGCTCCATCGGGGGGAGGTGAAGCGGGACGCGGAGGGGCTATGCTTACCGTGTTAAATAATTATGGCTGTCAATGCAAAGAAAAATATTCTTTATGACTAGATAAAAAAAATAATTATAATTATATATTTCCATTTCTCTATTATTTTTTTACCCAATAAGTATGAGTTGCAACAGAAACTTGGCAACAAGTTTATTATTTGTAAGTTGACAGTTCTTGTCATGTATACAGGGTGTTTCAGGATTAAGTCGACAAACTTTAGGTAGATATTCCTCATAAAAAAAATAAGAAAAAAATTTTTCCAGAGACGCTTCATTTTCGAAATATAGGGCGTTAAAGATTTTTACAAAATTTCGAATTTTTTAAATAATTTCTAAATGAAGAAGGCTATTTAAGCCAAATTTGGCATGACACATCGTCTTATAAGATACCATTTTTCCGTAGAAGTAGAAGTCCCGCAAGCAACCAGTGGCGGAGTTATGAGGACTCAGACTCATTAAATTATAAAACAATTAATACGGCCCTACTTAAAATAAAAACTGATGCTGTTTTTAGATAGAACAGTTCGTTATTGACAAAAAGTGTACATACAATTTGGCTTAAATAGCCTTCTTCAATTAGAAGTTATTTAAAAAATAGAATTTTTTTAAAAATCTTTAACGCCTTATATTTCGAAAATGAATGGTCTCTGGAAAAAAATTTATACTTGATTTTTTTTCTTATTTTTTTATGAGGAATATCTCCCTAAAGTTTGTCGACTTAATCCTGAAATACCTTGTATCGCACAGCTGATTGCTTTAACCTATAAAATAAAGAGCACAGTCGGTAGAAAGGAAAATTTGTGACGAAAAGTATTAGTGCTTGAGAATTAGAAGAGAAAATGGCAAAAGGAGGAAAAAAGCTAATGAACAGAAAATTGTGCAGCCTCAACCTCCGTACACCGTTCGAGGGCATCGACTAATCGACATAGAACAGATGGGACAAAGTACTGCACTGCTCTGCATTTGAAAATTTCTCATTTTATTTTATTATTCGTTGCAATCGAATTGAATTACACAAATAAACACACGTTGAATAGCCAATTTAATTTGTGTATCGAAACGTTTATTTAAATTTCCCCCACCTAACCTCAGTCATACTCTATTGCGCTGTTGCCGTTACTCCTTCGCGTTAATAGCATATCTCAATTATAAGTTGTAAAGTCGAGAGGAACGTATTCTTGGTCTATACAGTGTGTCCCAGTTTTAACCTGTTTACCCGGTAGCGCAGTTACTAAAAACTTAAAATGGTGAGATTAAAAACGATTCTCGATTAGACTATGCACACACCTCGTCATATATTTGGTCAAACAGCTAATTTAAAAGGCCCCGCGGGTCTATAAACCGTAGACCATAAACTACCCAACACGGTTTCCGTGTATAACAAAAATTTCGAAACAATCGCTGTCCTGGGAACACCACTAATTGAATATCGCGATTATAAGAACAAGACAAACGACCGTCCTAGCTATTTATTAATAATTAGAAGAATAAATTACGCCTAACTACCTATCCGCTTCATTAGTAAAAATGCGGTTTACGGTTCAGGCGGACGGCTATGGAAATGGGAAAATCATTAGCCTGGCCACATTTTAAAAAGACTATTTGTATGTTAATGGGCCAGGGGCCGGTGTAGCGTCTAATTATTTTTGAAATATTTTACAACTGCGACCACAAAAAATACTTCCAGGCAATCTATACGTCAAATTAGGCGCTGCCCGTAGAAACGCGGGATATTTATCGGTATAAATTTCGTTTATTTGCGTAAAATTATGTAAATATCCGACATAATCATATCTGTAATTTATAAAAAAAATGATAATCTCCTGAAATACACCTCTACGCCGCTAAGAAAAATCGTAGGTTTTGCTTTTTACGACGTCCCGAAGGCGTTATATAACCTCAAAACTCGTTAGATACGCTCCATCGCCAGATGTACCACTGCGATGGTCATTAATTGGAATCCTGAACTTTCTAATACACAAACGAAGATAACACCTCGATAAAGACGTATGTTATTGATAAGTGTCAAATTCGAAGTTTATCTTATGGCTGGCATAACCTCTAACGTCTCGCTATCAATCGCTATCACCATTACTATTTAAAAGACGATACAGGGTGTTTCAAATTGTCATCGCCATAAAATTTACTTCACAATCTAAAGAATATTTGAAAAAGTGTGACGAA